CCACTCTGGGGTTGAGGTGAATAAAATAACTGTGTTGTGACCTAAATAACATGCTGTTGCTATCTGCAGAAAGTATTAAAGCATGAAATCCCGCATTTTTAATGTACGAAAGCATCCTGTATCATAACTACATGTGTGCCGTTTGTAACAAACCAAACCGCGTGAAAATCAGTTAAAAATTCAGAGAGTTATTCTATTTTACTTGTGCATACAGATCCTTCCTCAATAGAAGTGAATGCATTGTGGAGGCGAAGCGAGACCCATCCAAGATGGCGGCCGGCGAGGACGCGCTCAGGCAGTCAATGCGGCGTCTATGTATATATGTCTATGTTTTTTCTCTGTCAACACGTCCCAGAAGCGGAGCATTTTGGTTGCCAGATTTTGTCGATTAAGTCATTATTCCTTGATATTTATGCTTCTGCCATGAATTACTAAGCAGGCTGTATATGTTTTTTTTTTTTTTACTGTTTTAAATGTGTTTATTGTTGTTATTTAGCTACTACATTGTTGTGCTGTGGCCTACAGACAAAGCAAATACTATAATAATGTGTGTCCTGGGCTGAAAAAAAATTAATCTGAACTGAGAAATGGACCTTCAATGAATGATGAGAGAAAAGTAAAATCATTGACTGAAGAAATTACTCCAAGGTATTAAATCATAGAGTAAACACATATTTTCCTTCATGTATTTTTTCAATCTTGAGGGCTACTTTACTGAAATAGTCAAAAGAGTATAAGGACGTCACCTCTCAGTTTTCAAGTCATACTCAATTTATGACTGTTTAGGGACCCCAGTATGCAGAAATACTAAAATACACCTATTGAAAAATGGTATTCCTTCTTCCCTCGCCAAAATTTAGTGTAACTTGGGAGTATTATTTGCCCCCTTTCCAGAAAAATAGCATAACATGGTTACCAGTGGATGCCTTGGGTGCTCTAGTTTAATATGATACCTGTGCCATCACTGTAGCTTTAAAGCTGAGCCTGATACAGCAGGATCACAGTTAAGACCTTTGCAAGACCTATAAGACCTTTTTCAAATTTGGCACAAACGTCCCCTTGGAATCAAGGATCAACTGTTTAGATTTTTGGTGGTCAAAGGTCAAAGGTCAAGGTCAATAATACTTTGCATCCATCTCATTCTCATGAACCCGCTTTCTCACAAACACCCAGAGAGAATTTCTGCTTATTTTGCAACAGCATCTACTTGGACTGAATGATGAACTGATTAGATTTTGGTGGTCAAAGGTCAAGGTCAGTGTGACTTTGTCTGTCTCATTCTCATGAGCGTGATATCTCAAGAACACCTAGAGGGAATTTCTTCAAATTTGGCTCTAACGTCCAGTTGGACTGAGGAATAAACATTAGAGTCTGGTGATCAAAGGTCAAGGTCACTGTAACCTCACAAAACATGCCTTTGGCCATAACTCAATAATTCACATGCAACTTAAAACACAACTTAACACAAATGTCTAAAAGGATATAATGAGGAAGTGATGACATTTTTATCCAAAAGGTCAAAGGTCATCTTCACTGTGACATCATAATATTCTGCATAAAACACTTTCCTGGCTGTTACTCAACATCATATTTCAGGAACAGAAGGGGAGACATTTGGTCAGATACTGAACTGGTGACACTAATCTTGAAACTGTGCTGACTGGACAGATCCTCTGTGGTGCTGGGGGGAAGATGTGTGTGAAGCACCCATGTTTTCACACACTTGCATGTAAACTGTAAGAGAAACTTGACAAGTGTGCAGAGGTATACAGCCGCAGGGTATTTCCAGTGTAGCATCTGGGTTTTTCTCCCAGCCACTTATCAAGACCATGAAATGCATACCAGGAAAACACGCTCTTACACCACTGGCTTACAGGAAATGCCCCGTATGGCACGGTAGATCATTAAACCACAGATAACACTGTAATACTGTCCCCAATACTGTTAACTACTAAGCCAGCGGACATGAAACTAACTCAAATTAAGCATGAATGTTTTTTTGGAGTGTACCTGTGTGTGTGTGTGTGTGTGTGTGTGTGTGTGTGTGTGTACACCGTAACCCTGAATGAAAAAGTGTTCCTGAATAACTGTTTCTAACCATGATCCGGAATGATACTGCAGATTCCCTCTCAACAAACACATGACAGCTACTGTACATTCTCTTACATAATCAGATTGAGAGTCAGGACAGATCAGCGCAAAAAAAAAAAAGGATAAACCACCATTCACCGAAACTCATTGAGTTAACTAATGAGAGAAACACCAGCTGCGAATCCTCTTTTTTTTCTTTTTAAGAGAAAGCCGACTAAGGTCCTCATGTGTTTCTCTGTTCTTACCAGAGATTTTATTCAACTTGTGGACCATTTCTTCTGGATAGTA